GAAACAATGTTAGAAAGCAATATAACGATGATGGAGTTAACTGAAGCACTTAAGAAACAAAATAATGGAAAAGCACCAGGTCCGAATGGACTTCCAGTGGAATTTTACAAGACATTACAAGAATCGTTGAATCTCCCATTGTTAGAAGTTATGAATGAAGTTACGTCAAAGAAGAGGATACCCAAATCGTGATCAGAAGCATATATTACACTTGTCCCAAAGGAGGACGCTGACCCACAACAAGTTAAGAACTATAGACCTATTTTCCTGTTAAACTCAGGCTATAAAATCTTAGCTTCAATATTGACAGAAAGACTTAAAAGATATTTGAACAATTTTATTCATCCTGATCAAAATGGGTTTCTGCCAAAGAGACAAATTAAAGATAATATGAGAATAATTTTGGACACTTTGGAATACTGTGTGGCACATCCTGAAAAACAAATGGATTTGATATTCTTATATGCAAAGAAAGCCTTCGACAATGTGAACTGGCGATTCATGTTATTACAGCTGGAGCAGATGGGCTTTGGTAAGAAATTTATTCAAGCCATAGAAGCTATATATCATAAACAAACAGCAAAGGTAACGATGGAGGGAGAATTGACAGCTTCCATTGATATAAGAAAAGGGACAAGACAAGGCTGCCCACTGTCACCTCTGTTATCTGTGTTAACTTTGGAAGTGTTAAATAGAAACATTAGAGAAGAAAAAGATATAAAAGGGATGAAAATTAAAAAGGAAGAATTTAAACTGCAAGCATTGCAGATGACCTGGTTTTCATTTTAGAGGATCCATTAGAAATAGCATTTAAACTGATAGAAAAGATAGAGGCATTGGAAAAGTAGCTGGTCTGAAAATAAATAAAGATAAAACGAAAATCTTGACAAAGAATATGTTATTAAGACAAAAGGAAGAATTGGCGGATGTTTTGGAAATCCAGGTCACAAATAAGGTTAAGTATTTGGGGATACATTTGACAGCAAGATGTTGCACACTTAAAGAGAATATGTACTAAACTCAAACAACAGATTCCCACAGATCTGGCGAAATGGGAAAATTTACAGTTATCATTAATAGGGAGAATATCAGCAATTAAGATGAATATATTACCTAGAATCTTATATCTGTTTCAAACAATTCCAATTAAGCTAGGGAAAGATTACTTTGAAGATTTAAATAAAATAGTGCTGAAGTATATATGGCAGGGAAAGAAAATGAGAATAAAATTAAAACTATTGCAAGAAGCTAGAATAAGAGGAGGATTTGGCTTGCCTAATTGGGAGTTATACTATCAAGCTACAAACCTGATGTGGGTTAAGGAATGGATAACACTAAGAAATATTAGACTGTTGACATTAGAAGGACATGATTTGTTGTTGCGGTGGCATGCCTTCCTATGGTACAAGGGAATTAAAACACAGGGGGATTTTAGAAGACATTATATGCATGAGGCTTTGTTACTAAACTGGGAGAAGACTAAAAAGCAATGTTATTTGAAAATTCCAGTCTGATTATCGACTATTGAAGCATTTTCTTATCCTATAACATATAAAAGGGAACAAACAGTTAGATAGGGTGAAATATTGAATGAAAAGGGTGAACTTAAATCTATGCAAAAACTAGAAGAACAAGGTATAAAGATGAATTGGTTTTCATATGTGCAAATATGCTCTAGATATGATAAAGATTCCAAAACAGGTTTTTATGATAAATTGACCGAATTAGGTAAGATTTTGACAGGTTCTGATGAAAAGGTGATTAAAAAACTGTATGGATATTTATTAGAAATTAAGCTAGAAGAAGAACAAGTTAAAGAAACAATGATTGCTTGGGGGGAAATTTTTGGATATGGGATTGACTTAGAGAAATGGCAAAAATTGTGGTCTCAAAATTATAAAATGACAATGCCAACAGCATATAAAGAAAACTTGTATAAGATGTTTTACAAGTGGCACTTACCCCCAACAAGAATAGAAAGAATGTTCAAGAATAAATCTGAAAAATGTTGGAAATGTCATCAGATACCTGGCTCATATTACCATATGTGGTGGACGTGCACAGATGCTAAAAGCTATTGGACTAAAATCCACACATGGTTGGAAAAAATGACAAAAAAACATATAGACTTGAAACCAGAGATATTTTTATTGGGAATTTTACCTGAAATATATAGTAAAGACTTGAAATACCTGATTGTAAATGTATTAACAGCGGCTAGGATTATATTTGCAAAAAATTGGAAAAATGAGAAAATACCAATGCAGGAGGAAGTTATTAAGAAAATAATGGAATGTGCTGAAATGAGTAAATTGACATTTGAAATTAGAGAACAAGAAGACAAACAATTTTATAAGATTTGGGATTTATTTTATCAATGGTTAGAAAATAAAATATGGTAATGGAATATGTAGAACTTTACAATATAAGTATATATACACATACATATATATATATGTTTTCTTAAGTTTTCGCGGGTACTTACATGTATGGCATTCAGCTTTGATCGGGTATTTTCCCACGTCATTGTAGTTGTGCTTTTAAAGTTGTAGCAACGTTTCGGAAGAATCTCATCTGCCTTCATCAGGCTTCTGTATAGTGTTCATCTGTGAGTCAGGCTTTTACAGTGGTTTCAGATTTAAATTTGGGGCACAGCAATAGGCTGTAAAAATCTGACTCACAGATGAACACTATATAGAAGCCTGATGATGGCAGATGAGATTCTGCCGAAACGTTGCTACAACTTTAAAAGCACAACTACAATGACATGGGAAAATACCCGAACAAAGCCAAATGCCATACATGTAAGTACCCGCGAAAATATATATATATATATATATGAATATGAATATGAATATGAATATATAATATTCTATTATATATATAATAGAACTATATAGAATATGTAAAGATGTGTTATAATTACGGGATGAACTTAGGATGATAATATGAATTGTTATAAGATAAATCAATTTAAAAATATGGAATATCTTGCATAACATGAATGAATAATAGTATAGTCAAATGATTGATTAACAATGATAATAATGTATTTAGGAATATTTGATTGATAATATGAGAATATATACAAGTAATTGTAAGTGAGAACTATGGAGAGGATGCACAAAACAATTTGTAACCCACTGACACACTGTATATACGTAAGTGGAAGATGGCTTGATGTTTTTATGTTTTGTTTATGTTTGTCTAAAAAATAAAATTTTGTTTTTTTAAAAAACTCTTGTCTAGTCCTTTTTTTTATATGGTTTGAAAAACAGCCTTTCATAATTTTATCTTTGTTGTGACAGGAATTACTTGGAGGACAGTTTGATTTATTTCTTAAATTTGCAGTCAAGAACTTAACCCAAATCTGGAAGGACAGGTAGTCTTCACATTACGACCACAATTGAGTCAAAATTTCTATTGCTAAACAAAAAGTTGTTTACTGAATTTTGTCCCATTTGCAACCTTTCTTGTCACCATTGTTAAGTGAATCTTTGCACTTGTTAAGTTAGTAGTACAGTTGTTAAGCAAATCTGGTTTCCCCATTGACTTTGCATGTCAGAAAGTTGCAAAAAGTGATCACATGTCCCTGGGTAATAAATGCCATTTTGATCATGTGACCGTGGGGATGCTACAATGGTTGTTAGTGTGAAAATGGTCATAAGTCACTTTTTTCAGTGCCATTGTAACTTTGAATACTTACTAAACAAACTGTTGTAAGTTGAGGACTATCTGTATCTTTCAAGTTAGAAGCTTTAGTTTTGTTGAAAATATTGGAAAGAAAAACTATTGCTAAATGTTTTCTTTCTTCATTGCTTTCATGAATGAGACATTGGTGTTATTTTGTTTGTGATCATTTTTAATAGCAGATGCTATGATTTTAATTACATTTAAGCTCTTGAGAATAATGAAGAGAAGAAAGAAGAGAAGAAAATGTAATTTAGTTACATTTTAAGCTCTGTAGCTACATTTTAAGCACTTGATATATAAGCTTTAAGTACTTAAATCAAACATATAAAAATACCGGTAGTACATGTATACTTTTTCCCTGGCCCATTATTAATAAAAAAACGGTAATCAAAAGGCAGGCTTGTACTAAAAAATTTTGGGACTGTAATTCTATAATTTCCCAAAGTTTCATTTGGGAGTATATAGCAGTGTCTTACATTGCTGTGCATTGGCAGGAAAAGCAAAAATAAATTCTATAAAGAATAGCAGCCTACTGCAAAAATGGATTTAAAATAGTTTCTATCTATGAATTATATTTTGTCTTTTCCCATTCTAAAACACTCTATGGTTTGCCTGTTTTAGCATCTTGTAATATGCAACTTTGTAGTCTGTGTAGATTGTGACTGATGTCTTAATATGGTGTTTCTTAAACTTTTTATCTTCTCACTTTAAAAATTTACAGTGAATCCCTAAAGAGATTTTGTTTATATGCATTGTATTTATTGATATTTGCCATACTAAAATTAAAATTGACATTCTTATGATCACTTGATGAGAATTTTAACATTGTATTATTTTTAACATATGCTGGCAAATATTTTGATTAAGCAAACCTTGAGGAACCCGCAGGGGTCTTAGGACCACATTTTAAGAAACAATGTCTTAGTGTAAATTTTGTAAGCTGTATAGATTCTGTTATTGGGTTAATATAACTATACTTAGAATTGATCTCTTGACCTCTTGAAAAAAATATGGTCCAATTCATTGTATTAGCCTAATGGATGGAAATGACATTACTAAAAATGGTATATTTACAAAAATTTATTGTAATTTTTCAGAAATGAAGTATTATGATTTTTCCTTCATCTAAAATATGATAACTAATATATATTGTACATAAATCTGAAAAAAGAGTTCACATTCTCTATTTCTTTGTATTGCTGGTACCTGGATGTTGGATACAATAATCAGAAAAATAGCTTTAAAAAATAGTGGTAGCTGGTGAATAATGTGATTCAATTTGTTTTTAATATCTTTTGCATCCCCAGCCAGTGTAATTCCCGGAAATTCAGTTCTGAATTTTGATGTCCTTCTGGTTGATGTTTGGAATTCTGAAGACCAAGTTGAAATTCAGACTTATTACAAGCCAGAAAATTGTACAAGAACAATTCAGGTGTCTGATTTTGTAAGATACCATTATAATGGAACATTTTTAGATGGAACACTATTTGACTCAAGGTATCAATAAAATATTTCACCTTTTTCATATATTGGGGGAATATAAACATAAATAACTGTTCAGATATGCAATGCAGATCTTAAATGAGCAAAGATACAATATTATTTTTTCTTCTTCCTTATATCCTTTCACTGAATGACTTGAATTAAATGTTAAATCCAACTTTGAAACCATTTGGTTTTGTAAATTTCTACTAGAATAAAGTCTTAATGTTTTAATTTTCAGTGATCTGTTAAATGCTTAACATTTGTACTGCTTGAATAGAAATAAATTATACACCTTATTATATTGATTTATACTGTGCTGATTTTTGCTGTTAATATTTATTCATTATTTAATTTTTAAACAGATTTAGAATAATATCAGTCATTTAAAATGTTGAAATATCGAAAACTCCAAATTACCAAGTTCAGCCTTATTTAGTTTGGTGATACTTGTAAATTTCTCATTTATTCCCCCTGAGGCTTTTTTTTGGTCTCCTTTTTCCATTGTTTGTCTACTATTGGTACTAACAATAACTAAATGCTATAAAGGACTGATAAAAGAAAGAATTTATGAAAAGTTTAGTGCTTTTTATTTGATGGCAGACAGGTACATAAACCTAACACCTGTTTGTAACTCCTGAAACCAAATGCGTGCTTCTAGATTTCACACTGCAGCTATGAAGGGCTGTGAAATAAATCTGGACAAAAGTATAGCAACTTAAAGCAGTTGGAGGCAATGGTACATTGGTACCTCCACTTAGTCTGGTGTATCTTTCTGCCTTCAGATCTAAAGCACAACACATCTTTATTATTTATTCAGTGCATAATTAAAAGTATTGACTTCTCTGCCACCTGTAAGACACTCTTTCATGATATATTGACTTTTATGCTATCCATGACACTTGGATTGGACCTTTCTGCTTGTCAATGCTCTGTGTAATCTTCTGAATTATACCATGGATTGCTGTAGTGAATATAAAACGTGTGTGTGTATGTTGAGAACAAGTCAAAACACACATGCTCTTGTTTTGTTACATTTAATCCTCTTGTTTTATTACTCTGCACTAAATTGAAGAGATCTGGAATTCACTGGTATTTATTTATATTTTCAGTCACAATAGAATGCGAACGTATGACACTTATGTAGGAATTGGGTGGTTAATCCCTGGAATGGACAAAGGTCTTCTTGGAATGTGTGTAGGAGAAAAGCGTATAATCACAATACCACCTTTCTTGGCATATGGAGAAGATGGAGATGGTAAATTATTTTGTGTTTTTGCAGATAAATGAAGAGATTAGTATTGATCAATACTAATTTGACTAATTTGAAAGTTTACTCATTCCTAATTAATATTCTAAAGCAGGAGTGTCAAACTCAATTTCATTCAGAGCTGCATCAGCATTGTAGTTGCCCTCAGGTGGGCATGGCCAGGGTGGCATGGCCAGCTCAATGTCATTCAAGTTGGAGCTGCCTGTCGGGAACTAGGTTGGTCTGTGAGGGATCCAGGTGTCCCTGGAGGAGATGGGGGCGGAACCAGGGCTGGTGCCGGGATATGATCAACCAAAGGAGCAAAGACAGATAGTGAGGCAGCCCAGCCAATCGCCATCATTGCCATGCTGCTGCCCATGTGCGCTTGGCCTCTACCATCCAACTGCTAGCAAGACTGCTCCCCACTCTTCCCATTTACTGGGGCCATTGGGGATAGGTGGGCAGGAGACAAGTTTGCTGGAGAACAAGGTTGAATGGTGGGGCCAAGTGCACAGGGGCCATGGTGTAGCGGTGACAGTGGCCAGCTGGGCTCCCTCACCATGATCCAACCATCTGATTTTGATTGCCCATGGTCACTACAGCTTGGATGGGACAGGTGTCCATGCTTGGAGGGCCGGAATAGTGGTTGTAGTGCACCATCCCCCACCTGTGCTGTGTGGGCTGAGAAGGGTGGCAGGTGGCTGCTGGTGCCAGACACTGTTCACCATCACATGCTGCCCAGTGCTTCCAGCAGGCTGGATCATCTGCCTCCCCTACCAAGCCTTTGCCTCTGCCTGCTGCTTGAAGGATCAGCCCAGATGTCCTGGTGCTCAGGCCCACCTGTAGGGACTGCGGAGTCTGGACTGCCTCTTGTGGATTGAGGCACCCTTTTCATTTTCTGGGGCTGTCATGGAGCGGCAGGCAGCAGGCTCATCCTGTGTGTGTGTGGTGCAGCTGGAAGATGTGGTTGGCTGGAGAGGGCTGAGTGAGCAGGAGCCCTGGCACGGCACCACTTCTGCCCACCACCTGCCTCACCTTGCCCTGCAGTGATGGCACTGGCAGCAGGCGCAGGTAGAGAAGTGGGGAGCCACATGATCTGGCTTACTAGATGCCTTCCCCATCCCAGCTGCAGAGGCTACAGACAAGCAAAGACATATGGTGGGATGGAGCAGGTGGCAGGTGGCTGTATGGTGTGTCTGGCAGGCTGAATCACGTGCCTCCACCCAGCGCCTCAGCATCTGCCTGCTGCTTGGAGGGCTGGCATAGTGGCTGTAGTGCACCATCCTCCACCTGTGTTGTGTGGGCTGAGAAGGGTGGTGGGCGGCTGCTGGTGCCAGACACTTCACCTTCACATGCTCGCTGCCTCCTGAGCGTGCGCTGGAGGGGCATTTGCCTGGGGTGGGCCTTGGTTGGGGCATCAGGGGTCAGTCCTCTGCCATTTCCAGGGTGGTCCTGCAGACCAAATCTGGGTCTATCATGAGCTGGATTCAGCTAATGGCCTTGTGTTTGACATGTCTGTTCTAAAGTGTGCTCTAATACAAATAACATACAATTGAACATAAATTTTATGTGTTATTAACTTTATTAATTAATGTATATGGCTGCCCATCTGACCAAGGATTCTCTTGGCCACCCATAAAAAACAATGTGTAACCAATCCTATACATATATAAAATCAATATTTAAAAATAAATATTATTAAAATTAAAATATGCAAACCTCGTTGAAAGAATATCTAATCCAGTAGTGGAGCATCTATGATTTATACTATTTTTACATAATTCATTCTGTAATATTGCACATGGTGTTAAAGTAATTCATTAAATTTAATAAACATCTTATTTTTAACCTATTTAATACAAAGACATTGAAATAATATTTAACTCAATAGTGGAGATCCAAAATTTCTGTTTTTCTTGTTCTCCTCAATAATAATTCTCTTTTATTATCTGATTTGTACTATTTTTACATAATTCATTCTGTAATATTGCACATGGTGTTTAAGTAATTCATTAAATTTAATAAACATCTTACAAAGACATTTTTAAAGGATAACTTTGTTTTTCCTTGTTACAAGGGAGGAAGGTGAGGGAGTATAATAATGAAGCTTCACTAAGGATGTGGGGGGAAATAACAGCAGACTCCTGAAGCTGACTCCCCCATTATTTTATTACAAATCAGATTTATTTGCATTTGAATTGAATAGGTACCAACCAAACCTGATTTCATTTGGAGGTTTTCATGCAGGGTAGCAAGGCCTTTATCTACTCAAGAATATTTGAATAATTAAAAACAGCAGAATAAGTTCTAAAAATTTCATAACACACAGGAGATAAAAATTGGATATATGCCAGCTTTATTTCTTCCAACAGTCAACATTATTGAGCCTCGGTGGTGCAGTGGTTAGAGTGCAGTACTGCAAGCTACCCCTACTGCAGTTTGGCAGATTGAATCCCACCAGGCTCAAGGTTGACTCAGCCTTCCATCCTTCCGAGGTAGGTAAAATGAGGACCCAAATTGTTGGCAATATGCTGGCTCTGTAAACCGCTTTGAGAGGGCTATAAAGCACTATAAAGCAGTATATAAGTCTAAGTGCTACTGCTATTATGCAGATACCTGATACCTCATAACTGATACCAAAAGAAGGTACACCAAATGTTTGCAAATGTTCAAAAACTCAATGTTTGTTTATTTTCTGTATACTTTGTTTGCAGGGAAAGAAATACCTGGTCAAGCTTCTCTTGTCTTTGATGTAGCTCTTCTAGATCTACACAATCCTAAAGACAAGGTTAATATAGAAAAACTGTATGTACCAAAGTCCTGTGAACGTCAAACCCAAATTGGGGATTTCCTCAGGTATCACTATACTGGTACCCTTCTTGATGGAACAGTGTTTGATTCCAGGTAATAATGTAATTAAGCATAAAATCTATCCTGTATATATTCTTAGCAGTCCTTGGCTACTTTTTCCAATAGCTTTTTTATTAGAAAGCTTTTTAAATTTCTGGATATAAATATATTAGTAATTAATAAGTAAGACTGATTATGTGCATCAAGTTGTGTCAATCTTAGCAATCATAAAGATGGATTTTATCCAGGAAGTAAATAATATACCAATAAAATAAATTAAGAATTTCACCCAGATACTTATGATGGAAGCAACTTTTTCCCCTTACAACTTTTCCCATTTAGTGAAGCCATAAGCTGAGCCTGTAAATGTCAAATATACACATTTAGGAACATGTGCATTTGAAGTTCATGCAATTTTATAAGTAATGGTTCAGTAATTATTAGAATAATTTTTCTGTATAAAAATTTGCATTTTCTATTTGTTGAATTAATGAATGAGAAAAATACTGTGATGAATGTAAAATAAATGTCAGGACATTCATTTTCTCAATTCAAAGGGCATGCTTGTTCTCTGAATTATGTTCATTACGATGTAAGTAAGTAAAGCCTATCAAATATGTATGGAGCAAGAATAAAAAAGGAATTTAGATTTAATTGTATTAAAGTATGTTAAATTAACTAAAAGCTATCTATATCATCTAATAAAGGAGAATATTTGTAGCTCAGGCTTGAAATGAGGGGTCCTAAGTGCTTTCTGAGCTTGTTTGTTTTCTTGCAGATGTTGCATTACCCTAATTAAGTTACATCATCAGTGCTAATAAGGAATGCTGTTTACTGTCATTTTATATTCAGGTGACTTGCTCGTCTGTATGGGTTGGTGTGGTCAAAAATTTTTTGGTTGGGCTGTTTACTGATAACTCATCGGCAGTTTCTGTTTGGGGTATTGTTTATTTGATTGTTGGTCTGAAGTTGATCTTGGAATTAATCTGCTGATCTGAGTGCTCATTCCTGGTGAAGAGGTACTGGAGTCTTTTTCTCTTTTGGGCTGGTTGATTGTTTCTTTTGCATAGTCTATAGATATTGCTTTCTGCCAGTTTTCTGCCTGTTTGTCCTACATAATAGTTGTTGCAGTTCTTACACTGTATGTTGTAGATGACTCCTGTTTTTTCTTCTGGGGTTGCTGGGTCAAAAAGACAAATGTAAAAAATAAAAAAGTATAAAATACAAAATGCAAGAAAATACATTATTCCATGACAATTCATCCATGAATACCAACTGGCAGTCAGAAGACATGATGAAAATTCTTTAATTTCACAACATATAGACAGATTTAACCATAGTTTCAGTTGGGAAAATGTGACAATCCTAGACCAGGCCAAGTCCAAAAATGTCAGGGAATTTCTAGAAGCCTGGCACTCTGACAAATTGGCCATCAATAGAAACATAGACATTAACAACATTTACAGACTGCAAAAGAAACAATCAACCAGCCCAAAAGAGATATAGCATCTCTACCAGTAACCAGCACTCAGATCAGCATAGCTCTAAGGTCAACTTCAGACCAACAATCAAGTAAGCAATACCCCAAACAACAAATTGCCAAAGAGCCATCTGTAAACAGTTCAACCAAAGAATCCCTAAGATCGCCCCCACCACATAGACAAGCAAGTCATCAAAATATAAACTGACAGCAAACAGCACTCTTTACTACCATTGATGATGTTACCTAGTTAGGATAATGAAACATCTGCAAGAGAACAAGCAAGGACCCTCCCTTTTATCTATATAGCTATCTTCTTCATTATATCATCATATAATCATCACTATCATCATTATTACCACATCATCATCATCTATCAGTTCCGTTCTCACTATTATGATGATCTGTTTCTTCCTCGATCTTGGGTGTTTTACCCAGAGGCTGGCTTGAGGGTTCTGCAATGTATCTTAGCTGTTCCTAGCACTGTACTCTTCTCTCTTTTGGGCAGAGAGCCCTGCTGTTGTACCCAGGATTTGTTGGAGCCACCCAACTTAGAAGACAACAGCTCCAGCTCCATTTAGCAGTCATGTTCTTAAACATCTTTGCCAGTCTTGCTGGTGGAAAGTGCCATCTGTAAAACATTTTCTATAGATTTTCCTTATATGCAATTTATATATGTAGTTCATTTCCTATAATTTCTGCCATTTACCTAATTCTATCATATAACTTTAATTTTTAGGCCATACTATTATTGTTTACTTATTCTTCTTCCATTTTAATGCTCAGTAGATAACTATAATTTTTAATTAATTTTCCATCTGTCCCTATTAGTATCTGATCTAGATCTGTTAGTTCTTTATAGAAACCATATATTTTAGTGTCTTTCTCATATCTTGATTGTAATTGCACATAAGGCCACCATTATAAATCAATCCCCTCACTTTTCAGTTCTTGGTTAGTTTTAACTTCCCCTTTTTAAGTCAAAGTATCTTTATAACTTGTAATTTTTTCCATGTTGACAATCTTTGGATGTATCAGTGCTTCCATCATGAAAAGCCAGACTGGTATTTTCATATAATGTTTTTCTTTAATTTTTGCCCATACTAATAATAAATCATGTCTAATATAATGTCTTTGAAAGTATCTATGAATTTTGTTTTTCCTATACAATAAAAAAGCATGTCACTTCAATTGCAAATCATGTCCCTCCAAAATCAGTAATTGTCTGTCTCAAATTTATCCATTCTTTCACCCAGAAGGCTGACAGTATAGCTTCCACTGAGGCAACCCCAAACCCCTTTGTTTTTAGAATCTTGTAACATTTTCAAACTTATTCTTGCTTTTTTCCCTTGCCAAATATATTTTGACATTATTTTATTTAATTCCTCAAAATATTTTTTCCAGCTTTATCGGAATTGTTTGGAACAAAAAGAGTAATCTCAACAAGATACTCATTTTTGTGGTAGCTATTCTTCCTCTCAGCGATAGTTGCAAATTTTTCCATTTCTCTAGATCTAATTTGATTTGTTGCATTAGTTTTATATAATTATCTTTTTTAATAATTGCACACCTTGCTGTTAGCTGGATTTCTAGGTATTTTACTTTCTTAACTATCTGAATATCTGTCTTCTTCATCAATTCTTTTTTCTGTTTATCTGTGAGGTTTTTTAACTACTTTTACTTTTCTCTTTAATTTATTTTCAATCCTTCAACTTCACCATATTCTATTTTTTTATTAATTTGGATCCAGTTTCTTGTGGTTCTTCTAAAATAAACATCAGGTCATCTGCAAACATCTATAGTTTTATTTTTCGTTGTTTTATTTCCATACCTCTTATTTCTATACTTTGTCTGATATTTCTATTTAAAACTTCTAATGTCAATATAAATAGTAAAAGGCTAGGGTTAGGCATCCTTGTCTTGCGTCTTTCTTTATATTGAAGTTCTCTGTCATGTCCCCATTTACCATCATTTTTGCAGTTTGTTTAGAGTATATTGCCTTAATCATATTAATAAATACTTCACTAAAGTCCATATACTTCAATTGTAATAGCATAAATTGCGAGTTTGTATTTTCAAATGCTTTCTGTGCATCTAAAAGATCAGCACCATTTGTTATTCAGGATGTACTGCATAGTACTGTAGCATACTATATTTAAAATGCTTGATGTTATTGAAACATATATTTTATAGTCAACGTATAGCTGTATAGTTATCTGTATCCTATACATTTTGTAATGAAGTCTTTTTTTCTATTCCATTTTAAAAAGAAATAAATTTATTTTTCCATTTTTGTGTGTAAATTCTTTATCCTGTAATAGAATTGATTCAAAGTCCATCTCAATTTTTTCTCTTGCCCTTTCCACTTAACTTTTACTGGATTATGGTCTGCCCATATACAGGTGAAACTCAAAAAATTAGAATATCGTACAAAAGTTCATTTATTTCAGTAATGCAACTTAAAAGGTGAAACTAATATATGAGATAGACTCATTACATGCAAAGCAAGATAGTTCAAGCTGTGATTTGTCATAATTGAGATGAGTATGGTTTACAGCTCATGAAAACCCCAAATCCACAATCTCAGAAAATTAGAATATTGTGAAAAGGTTCAATATTCTAGGCTCAAAGTGTCCCACTCTAATCAGCTAATTAAGCCATAACACCTGCAAAGGGTTCCTGAGCCTTTAAATGGTCTCTCAATCTGGTTCAGTAGGAAGCACAATCATGGGAAAGACTGCTGACCTGACAGTTGTGCAGAAAACCTTCACTGACACGCTCCATAAGGAGGGAAAGCCTCAAAAGGTAATTGGAAAAGAAGTTGGATGTTCCCAAAGTGCTGTGTCAAAGCACATTAATAGAAAGTTATGTGAAAGGGAAAAGTGTGGAAGAGAAAGGTGCACAAGCAGCAGGGATGGCCGCAGCCTGGAGAGGATTTTCAGGAAAAGGCCATTCAAAAGTGTTGGGGACTAACAAGGAGTGGAGTGAGGCTGGAGTCAGTGCATCAAGAACCACCACACACAGACAGAGCCTGGACATGGGCTTCAAATGTCATATTCCTCTTGTCAAGCTGCTCCTGAACATCAAACAATGTCAGAAGCGTCTTACCTGGGCTAAAGAAAAAACAGAACCGGTCTATTGCTCAGTGGTCCAAAGTCCTCTTTTCTGATGAGAGCAACTTTTACATCTCATTTGGAAACCAAGGACCCAGAGTGTGGAGGAAGAATGGAGAGGCACACACTGCAAGATGCTTGAAGTCCAGTATGAAGTTTCCACAGTCTGTGTTGATTTGGGGAGCCATGTCATCTGCTGGTGTTGGTCCACTGTGCTTCATTAAGTCCAGGGTCAACACAGCCATCTACCAGGAGATTTTGGAGCACTTCATGCTTCCTTCTGTAGACGAGCTTTATGCGGATGCTGACTTCATTTTCAAGCAGGACTTGGCACCTGCCCACACTGCCAAAAGCACCAAAACCTGGTTCAATGACCATGGGATTACTGTGCTTGATTGGCCAGCAAACTCGCCTGACCTGAACTCCATAGAGAATCTATGGGGCATTGCCAAGAGAAAGAT